AGCGTGATGGGATGACAGCACAATGATGTGTGTGGTCCTGCGCTTTCATGTGATATGCGTGGCATTTCTGTGCGAGCCTGCGTTCGCGAGTAATCCATCCAAGAGTAATGTGTGTGCAAAGCTGTATGAAAGCTCTGTTATACATCATTTTATTGTAATTTTTCGCTGTGAAAACATTGGATTACCGACAAGTGCTTGGCCTTGTCGGAAAGCTACAATTCTGCTGTTTCCGCTGATATGCGTGGCTTCTCGCTATGATGCACAGTCGCGGAGAAAATCCACAGAGAAGAACGGGTGTGAATTTGGACGCACTATGCGTCGTTCGGGCCCATAGTCTAAACTTCTCAGTTTCAACATTTTATTGAGAACATTTAGGAACAGTGCTGCATATTAACTTTTGTCTGCACATTGTTTTTGTTGCCATTGTTGCTGAGTCTGAGGTGCGAGTCATGCGCTCTCGCTCCGCCTCCACCTTGGGTACCGAAATTTGGCACCGTTTCATTTTAAGTGAATCGGTACTCGGTAGTACCGACGTGAATCGGTACCAAGTACAAAAAGTGCTGAGTTTCGGTACCCAACATGTCGGGCAGGAAATCCAAAGCGTGGGATCATTTTGAGAAGGTGAAGGACGAACCCAAGGTGATATGTAAACTCATCTTCACTGGTCGACTACAAACATGACATATTAGTTGACCAAGAAAATTCTTAGTGGGGGGCAGCTTTACTAAAAACTACAGTATATTTTTAACATCACAATTAACAAGTCATGTGGAAAGCAGGCGAAACGACACACACTAAACAGGGAACCAGAGTGCCCCCCTACAGAGGCTGAGCCCCCAGTGTCCTCAGACCCTGGACACGCCCCTGTTAGAGTCTGTAAATTAATAACTGACTCTCTCAGAAGGTAAATATATTTATTTTGTAGTTTAATTACATGTAACCAGTCATTCCTCAGCACTGTAACTACATAATAAAGAAAGAAATAATCTCAAACAAGCCTGTTGTTTGTTCTGCAAGCTCTCGCAAGATCACGAAATGCGCCGTGTGGGAAAATCTCCATGAAGAAACCACACAGAGCAGTCAGTGTTATGTGTACAAAACATGAGCTGATAAAAGCTCCACTATAACTGGACACCCAGAGACAACAACCTGTCCTTCATCACCATCTGTCTCTGTCCGTCAAACCGGAAGTCCACTGTCCCTGAATCCCAGCAGACAGAACAACCAAGGCTATTCAAGAGAAGGCTGAGACACGGGTCAAACATGGGGGGATTGCACATGTGCAGTGTAACTTGAGCTGCGATGCTGGAGGGTGACAGCAGGGGCGCTAGATAAAAAGCGCAGGATCCGCTCAGGCGATCAAGGAGTGCGCTTGGTGCGGTCTGCTTAGACTTTTGGATGGCGGCTGCCTGAAGTTGTCGGAATTGCATCTCTGTCATTCTCACCCACAACGCAGGCCACCAGTGACAGTCCAATAATAAGCTGTGAAAATGACATGCATGCACATCCCCTTTATTCCGCGGTCTCACTCCATCTACTGAGCCTCTGAGGAAGTCCAGACCAGATTTTATCCCCCCATGTTTGACCCCGTGTCTCAGCCTTCTCTTGAATAGCCTTGAGAACAACCCGGAGCACTGACCGCAGACCAAGGCATGAGACCACGGAATAAAGGGGATGTGCATGCATATCATTTTCACAGCTTATTACTGGACTGTCACTGGTGGGCAATTTCAATAGTCACAGGTGCGTTCAGATTTTGGTGCAGTACCTCAGCCAAACCAGCAGATGGGGTGCTTTCGTAGGCACTCCATCTGCTGGCAGAGCAGAGGTACTGCACATGTGCAGTACCTCTGCTCTGAGTGTTTTCCCACCAATCTTTTAGTATGTCCGAATGGACCCAACTTGTTTAGTAGGTAGGAGTAGCATCTAGTGGTAGTACGTAGTAGTAGTATGCAGCCCCCGTGTCTCAGCCTTCTCTTGAATAGCCTTGCCGACTGGAAACCAGTACAGGAGGAGAACAAAATGGCCGCCACGAGGCTCAGAGTGAACCAGAGAATGAGCGGATGATCCACGGAGCCTCGAGACTCTTCCTCGTGTCGTTAGTGTGGCTGCTGTGAAGCCGTTTTTATCAATGACGTCATCAACACTCACCTCAACATCGCTGCTATCAGAGGACGAGCCTGCTGCTTGTCTTCTGGGGACCTTGTTGCTCCGGTGCTCCGGGTTCTGCTTGTCCTCCTCCATTCCGCTCCGCTACTGCTCCTCCTGCTCCTGGGCTGCGTCAAGTAGTATGGATTGTAGTAGACCAAATTAGTATGTAGTTTGTCCGAAACCGTAGTAGGGAAGAGCAGTATACTAAACACGCCTACAGTGTACTATGATGGCAGAGCATACAGCAGGGCTACTACTTACCCAAAATGCACCGCGGGCTTCTTCTTCGTCTTCTTCTTCATTGTAGACGTTGCACGGCATTTTACCGCCCTCATCAGTCTCCAATTTAAATGCAGCGTGTTCGCTGCCTGGCAAGATTCAAAACATCATGGCGGAGCAACGCATCAATACATATGTAACTACACGCACACTTTGTTAAAGTTTCACAAATATAAAGTTATCAACACACACAGTTTTCATTGGTCAGAAATGTATTTCTGCTAATATGATTATGAACAAAGCGGTCTGTTTTATACCAGTAAGTTAGTTTGATATTGGACATTCACATTAGTTTGACATTCAAAAGACAACAACAAACAACAATAATAAAATAAATAATGATAATAATAAATACTAGTACTGTTAAAACAAATGATGATTAAGTTTGGCATAATGAAAGTACATCATGACAGAGCAGTTTTACTGGATGTCATTGTACTGTGTGAGGTGACAGGTGTTCAAAATGACTCAGCCCACACACATGACAGAATGTGCTGGTGGAAATGCTGTATCTAGATATTGATATTCAATGAACTAATCACTTGATTGACACATGATGTTAGCATTGTGACATGTGAACAGTTTAAAGAAAAAGTCTTCATATGTCGGCTGTCTTTCTTGAGTTTTAATAATGGAGACACTCACACATACAACCGCATGAACAGTCAGTCAGTAAGAGTGCCTAGCAAGTCTTCTCGCCCTGCTATCTTTATAGTTCCCATAACACATGAACATCAACAGTCAAAATATGTGGCGCCTTGACATTCCTAAAACACAACATCTCTTCAGACTAACAAGGACACTTGTTGTCCTCCCTGGCTCATAATCTTGGTGTCTGAGCCTCCCTGGCTCGTGACCTTGGTGTCTCTCACTGCTGTCACAGTAGGGGTTAAATGAGCGACACACATCATTAGGTTAGAAGTTCAGTTTCATCAAAACAAGTAACCTTATCCACCTTATTTTCAAACACGGAAGTAAATAGTGATCAACTTCCGTTTTTTTGTGCGTGACTTCCGGTCAGCCGCTTTCCCTCATGCTTTCCCTTACCGGAGCTAACGGTGCAAGCTAATTTTTTTTCAATTTTCAGTTGTTTATGTTAGTCAATCAGTTAGTTAGTTAGTTAGTTAGTTAGTTAGTTAGTCTGTGTATTTTGTATAACGTTAGATAACTGTGCCCACGTTTCCATTATAACGGAAATTTATTCCCTTTAAACGCGAATAAATCGCACGTCAATCATAAACTATGAACCAAAAAAGCACAATCTATCCCGAGTGAGACAAACTGCTTGATCCCCGTCTCCAGTGCACCAGCAGAGAACCTGCAGAACCGAATCAGCGAAAAAACACACCGGGCTACACAGCCTCTCTACCTGAGCAGCTGAAGCTGCGGCTCGCACCCTCGACACACAGACACACAGACGGTGCTTCTGCATGCCAGCCAAACGTGTGC